GCCAAAGTGCTTGCTCATAGGGGGTCATATGATTGTTGGGTTTTTCTCTGTATCGCCTTGAGGCGACTTTTGTTGTGATTTGGCGCTATATAAATAAAATTGAATTGAATTGAATCGAATCAAAAGGAGCTGAGGGAGGGAGGGAGGAGGTGAATGGTGGTGCAAAGAAGACAGGGGAGATGTGGTTAGATGTTCCAAAGCAATAATTTAAGGCACTGAAACTGTATCTATAATAAAATGTTTCTTTTTCAAACGATTGATCGTGGTGATTGATTCTGACATCAGATGAATATTTAAATGATCCTCGGACTCGGCCATCGATCAGTTTAAACCATATCAGTGACATCACTGTCTTTTAGCTGCTTTGCTTTGGTCCGCTCTGAGCACGTGCAGACTCCTTAGGCTGAACCAGGACTGGAGCAGCAGCAGGACTGGGACCAGGACCCAGACTCCATTAAATAAGACCAGGTAGACCCACAGGTAGAGCAAGGAGGATGTGTTCAGGTGAGGGCTGCCCATCAGCCAATCAGGACAGAAGGTCATCCAGCCGCCGTATAGCTCGCACACACTCAGAGCGATCTGCAGGAAGTGTCTGACAGATTGGTTCACCATTAACATCAGTACCAAGCAGTACCAGCAGCACAGTAACTGCAGTACAGGAAGTGTTACCTGTAGTACTTGTCCTTCAGTACTGCGTGTATAAGGAGGAGAGCTAGCAGCGAGTCGAGGACGACGGTCAGGATCTCGATGGAGACGATCGTCGGATCAGAAACCAGCCAGCGACTGTCGGCTTTCCCGTACTCCTTCCCTACAGGTAAGACAGGTGAGAAGAAGTCAAACATCCCAAATGACATACCAAATAGTGTGTTTTTACAGTATCTGTGAGTAAAAGTACTTCATTACTTTGTTCTCATACTGGACTTCAGCTCAAACTAACACTGCCTGGAAATACTGCAGTGTATTTACAAAATACTCACAGAGCTCAGCCAGTGGCCCTTCAGAAGCCTCCACTGTCCCAACCAGAGACATGTAAACAAACGGACCCTCCTAAAAAAACAAAAATCAGAGACATGGAAACAAATGGACCTTCCTAAAAACCTTTAGGTTTAGAATAAAAAATAAACAAGAATAAACAAAAACAAAGTGTTTATGAAATGAGCCTAATTTTGAAGATGAGCTGAAACTTGAATAACGTTTTTTGTCATCATGATGAAGATGGGAATAACTAAGAATAAAGCACCGCCTACCAGCGTCAGATGGACAATGACATCATAAAAGAGCCACAGCAAGATCCACCAGTTCTGTGTAGAGCTCCGCCCACAATACCTGCGTGTTAGCAGGACAGCTGCCAACAGCTGGCCACTGCATGCTAACAGAGACAAGACGGAGACCAGAGAGAGGCCAGGAGGCGCCGATGAGTCCATCTGCAACCACAGAAGAAAAAGGAAGAGAAGGAACAGCATATAGAAGAGGTACCAGTACTACAGACTGTACTTCAAATATGCCACAGTAAAATTATTTTAGGATTAGTGTAGTAATATTGCAGAAATGCTGTATGCAGTCGTTCTGTGTAGGCTCACCACTGCTCTGTGTGAAAATGGACGTCTCAGGCTCCGCCCCCTGGCATTCCCTATTGAACTGCTGTTTCTAAATCCCGCCCCACACTCTCCCATTCACTGGTGAGGAGAACACTCCACTCCCTGTTCCCGCCTCCTCCCTCACAAACGGCTGAGGTCAAAGGTCAGCAGCAGATGAACATCATGTTTATCTGAAGCTAAACGTTAACATTCATTCTGACCACAGAAGAAGAAAATGAGGAGCTCAGTGTTTAAAACAAGCAAACAAACAAACAGGGGAATAAAACCCAAATCTCATTAAAAAAAATACAAACAGTACTTCAGCAGTTCTTTGGTACATCCAATTCAATTTTATTGATATAGCGCCAAATCACAACAACAGTCGCCTCAAGGCCCTTTATATTGTACAGTAGATAAAAGCCCAACAATCATATGAACCCCTATGCGCAGCGGTGGGTTTTTTTCTGTTCTCAAACTGATCTCCCTGTTGGAGCTCAGTCTGGGGGGAGTTCTTTTTTTCCCTCATTGTCTTTCCTGATGTTTTGTATTTTCAATTGTTCGGTTCTGGGTCACTACTCGTGCAGCTGACCGGCCAGCTACCTAGCCTGACCTGTCTCCCCAATATGATGTTTGTGTATTGTATGTACGGTCGGCAAGGTCAGTCTCTCAATTGCCCCTCGGGGATAAATAAAGTCTTCTGAATCTGAATCTGAATGAGCAAGCACTTTGGCAACAGTGGGAAGGAAAAACTCCCTTTTAACAGGAAAAAACCTCCGGCAGAACCAGGCTCAGGGAGGGGCGGTGCCATCTGCTGTGATTGGTTGGGTTGAGAGAAGGAAAACAGAATAAAGACATGCTGTGGAAGAGAGACAGAGATTAATAACAGATATGATTCAATGCAGAGAGGTCTATTAACAGACCTTCCCAAAGTGTGGGGCCTGCCCCCTAGGGGGGGCACAGAGCCATTGCAGGGGGAGCGCGGTATGAAAAGGGAAAAAAAACAAAGAACGCTTGGACACTGCTAGCATGGGGCGCCCACACAAACGCAAAGCAGGAGATGAAGCATCGCTGACTATGTTTCCAAACCAACTTCATTCTAAGCCAAAGACTAGAAAATATGGTGAAGCAAATCTTCCCTTTGGTTTCACCTGCACAAGTGCCGAGGTAGGTCTCTGTGACAGAATTAGTTTCCCCTGCGTTGGGAGCAGCGCTGGGCTCTCCAAATCACGGACAAACAGTATCCCACATTCTTGATTTTTAGTTCACAAACACTTGTTGTAATGACTAACTACTCCTGATATTTTGGAGATGTTAGCTCTTTATACAGTAAAGTTACAGTGGGATA